GTTCCTTCTTTTTAGGAATGTTCCAAACAGTTGTTATGGCCATGCCTAATGTTTTTGCTATCTCTCTGATGGGTTTGTTTTGTTTTTTCAGCCTAATGATGGCTTGCTTCACTGATAGTGACAGCTCTTTGGATCGCATCTTGAGAGTTGACAGCAACAGATTCCAAATGCAAATAGCACACTTGAAATGAACTCTGGACCTTTTATCTGCTCATTGTAATTTGGGATAATGAGGGAAAAACACACACCTGGCCATGTAACAGCTGAGAAGCCAATTGTCCCATTACTTTTGGTCCCTTAACAAGTGGGAGGCACATATGCAAACTGTTGTAATTCCTACACCGTTCACCTGATTTGGATGTAAATACCCTCAAATTAAAGCTGACAGTCTGCAGTTAACGCACATCTTGTTCGTTTCATTTCAAATCCATTGTGGTGGTGTATAGAGCCAAAAATGTTAGAATTGTGTCGATGTCCCAATATTTATGGACCTGACTGTATTTCCAGTCGTTTACCCATGCTCCCTCTAACTCTTTTGTTTTTATATATATATATATATATATATATATACACATACTCCAAATCATTGGATTCTGGTGTTCCAATCCCTTTCATGGCCACAGGTGTATACAATCAAGCACCTAGGCATGCAGACTGCTTCTACAAACATTTGTGAAAGAATGGGTCACTCTCAGAAGCTCAGTAAATTAAAGCGTGGTACCTTGATAGGTTGCCACCTGTGCAATAACTCCATCTGTGTGAAATTTACTTTCTACTAAATGTTCCACAGTCAAATGTGGTATTATAACAAAGTGGAAGCAAGTAGGTAGGCCATGTAAAATGACAGAGTGGGGTCAGCGCATGCTGAAGCACATAGTGCGTAGAAGTCGGCAACTGTCTACAGAGTCAATAGCTGAAGACCTCCAAACTTTATGTGGCCTTCAGATTAGCACAACAGTGCATAAAGAGCTTCATGGAATGGGTTTCCATGACCGAGCAGCTGCATCCAAGCCTTACATCACCAAGTGCAATGCAAAGTGTCGGATGCAGTGGTGTAAAGCACACCACCACTGGACTCTAGAGCAGTGGAGATGTGTTCTCTGGAGTGACCAATCTTGCTTCTCTGTCTGGCAATCTGAAGGACGTGTCTGGATTTGGCAGTGGCCAGGAGAATGGTACTTGCCTGACTGCATTGTGCCAAGTGTAAAATTTGGTGAAGGGGTCATTATAGTGTGGATTGGTTTACCATTGGTTGGACTTGGCCCCTTAGTTCCACTGAAGGGAACTCTTAAGGCATCAGCATGCCGAGACATTTTGGACAATTTCATGCTCCCAACTTTGTGGGAACAGTTTGGGGATGGCCCCTAATGTTCCAACATGGCTGTGCATCAGTACACAAAGCCAGGTCCATAAAGACATGGATATGAGAGTCCTGACCTCAACCCGATAGAACACCTTTGGGATGAATTAGAGCGGAGACTGCGAGCCTAGTCTACTAACTTTACTTCTGTGTTTACTTTCTATCAGAAATGTGTTTATTTGCTGCCTATTTCATGTATGCTGAAAATCTGTTTGTTTTATGAGTTTATTTTAATTTGACCCTGGCTTGTGTATTTAGTCATCACAGTGTAAACTGTTCTGTATTCTTTACAGAGGAGTGAAATGTCACTAACCGGGAATTTCCTTCATGTAGTTTCAATTTATATTTCAGAGAAAAATCTGAGATATGGAACTTGCTGGAAAACAACACCATTGTGTAACATTGCAGCTTGGTTTGCATATGACCATATTTACAGAATATTTAGCTGTATATCAGTAGTACACATTTAGTTTTGTGAGCACGGTTTCACCCTGAAGAAAGGAAGGAAATTTTGACAGAGATCTGAGTAATAACTAAGTTTTAGGGACTGAAAAATCGCTTCAAAAGAAATCTGTTATGTAAGAAACATATGCACCATTGCTGATCACTCCCTGTAAAAATATTAGATTCCTTATACTGACCCAATTGCTTAAAGATTTCAAAACTGCGTATTTGCCCCTTGTCAATGTCTCTGCTAGTAGTAAAGGAAATGGGTTGGAATAGGCAAACTAACATTCTGAAAAGGTCAGAAGAAGACAAATTCAGTAGTAATAGCTACAAGAAAAATGAATAAGATTCATTTTTGTTACCAAGGGAGTGCTTAAGGTTGGCCCTAGAGGAACTCTCTACAATGTATGCAGTGCCAGTTTTCAAACGTAGGGTAGCACAGTGGCTAAATGTTTAGCACTTCTTCCTGGCAGTACTAGGGTCATTGGTTCGAATCCCAGCCATGCACTACCTGCCTGGAGTTTGCATGTTCTTCCTGTGCCTGTGTGGGTTTTTCTACAGGTACTCCAGTTTGCACCCTTACTCCAAACACATGCTGGTAGGTTAATTGGATCCTGCCTAATTTGGCCCTAGTATGTGTATGTATGAATGTAAGTTAGGAACCTTAGATTGTATGCCCCTTGAGGGTTAGGGACCGATGTCATTGTACAATATACAGTTGTGCTCAAAAGTCTACATACCCTGGCAGAAATTGTGAGATTTTGGCATTGATATTGAAAATATGACTGATCATGCCAAAAAAATGCTTTTTATTGAAGGATGATGATCATATGAAGCCATTTATTATCAAATAGTTGTTTGGCTCCTTTTTAAATCATAATGATAACAGAAATCACCCAAATGGCCATGATCAAAAGTTTACATACCCTGGAATGTTTGGCCTTGGTACAGACACACAAAGTGACACACACGGGTTAAAATGCCAATTAGAGGTTAATGTCCCACATCTGTGGCTTTTTAAAATGCAATTAGTGTCAGTGTATAAATAGTCAATGAGTTTGTTAGCTCTTATGTGGAAGCACTGACTAGGCTAGATACTGAGCCATGGAGATCAGAAAAGAACTGTCAAACGTCCTGTGTAACAAGGTAATGGAACTTTATAAAAGATAGAAAAGGACTTAAAAAGATGTCCAAAGCCTTGAATATGCCAGTCATCACTTCCACCAAGAAGTAGAAAATTTAGGGACCTCTTGATACCAAGCCAAGTACAGGTAGACCAAGAAAGATTGCAGCCACAACTGCAGGAGAATTGTTCAGGATACAAAGGGAAACCCATAGGTAACCACAAGAAAAATACAGGCTGCTCTAAAAAAAGACAGTGTGGTTGTTTTGAAGGAGCACAATATGATGACACTTGAACAAAAATGAGCTGCATGGTCGAGGTGCCAGAAAGAAGCCTTTACTGCATCAATGACACAAAAAGGCCTGGTTAGGCATGTCAAGGTGTTGTCTGGCATATTGTAACTGGGCTTTTTTGTGGCATTGGTGCAGTAAAAGCTTCTTTCTGGCACCTCAACCAAACAGCTCATTTTTGTTCAAGTATCACCGTATTGTACTCCTTCAAAACAACCACACCATCTTTTTCCAGAGCAACCTGTATTTCTTTTGAGGTTGCTTGTGGGTTTTTCTTTGGATCCTGGACAATTATTATGTCAGTTATGGCTGCAATCTTTCTTGGTCTACCTGACCTTGGCTTGGTGTCAGGGATCCGGGTATGACCAGAGATGTGTGGACTGACACAGGGAAACGCAGGCTTCAAGCATAGTGTAAAACAATATAATTTATTAAGACTATACAGTGCACACAGTGCAAAACCCAAACCTCCAACAAATCGCAATATGTGTGGGAACACAAACGCAGTCCGGCAGGCCAGGTCGGTAACTATTGGGCAGATAAGGTACAAAGGAGCAGGCAGGAGAGTGGTCAGGAATAGCCGGGGTTGGTGCAGGCAGAGTCACTATCAGGCAGGAAGCAAGTACAGGGGCTCATGGGAACAAACACCAAGGCACTGATTGCAGGCCTGGTCCTGCTTAAATACACCTCCTGCAATCAGCCTCAGGTGATGGCTTGACTGCAGGTGTGAGATTCTGGCTGCTCAGAGCACCCGCTGGCCAGCACCGGTACTGCAGCCCACAAGACAGGTGAGCCCCAGCACCACCTATGGTGAGTCCATTCCTGACACTTGGTATCAAGAGATCCCCAAACTTTCCCCTTCTTAATAGGTAATTTAACAGTACTGATTGGCATATTCAAGGCTTTGGACATCTTTTTATGTCCTCTTCCATCTTTATAAAGTTCCATTACCTTGTTTCGCATGACTTTTGACAGTTCTTTTCTGATCCACATGGCTCAGTATCTAGCCTAGTCAGTGATTCCACATAAGAGCTATAAACACATTGACTATTTATACACTGACACTAATTGTAATTTAAAAAGCCACAGATGTGGGACATTAACCTCTAATTAGCATTTTAATCCATTTGTGTCACCTTGTGTGTCTGTACCAAGGCCAGACATTCCAGGGTATGTAAGTGGGTGAACCCACTTCCCTAATCTTACACCTATCTTTACTTTGAAGATTATGATAAACCATCCTTAACCCACAATGGTATTTATGGTCTGATTATGATAAACCATCCTTACCCACAATGATATTTATGGTCTTCTGTTCCCATATTTTTAATAAAATGGGTAAATTAAAATGTATAGAAATTGAGTGATTTTCTTATATGATCTCCTACATCCTTTTCTCAGTAGTATTTTCTTGGTTCCCTTTTTATTTACATTCTAGTCATTGTTCATTTTCCTCTTTGTTTTATGATTACCCCCATGCCCGTCTTTGTTGAGCTACACAGCTTGGTTGTATGGTGTTTCATAACAGCTGTGCATGAGATTTTTGACTTGCACTCAATGTGTACCTCTTCTGTGACTCAACTGTTTTCTTTTTTATCCAATGTATACATGCTGTATTTTTCAGATTGAGTTACTAGTTCATTTAGCGTCTATGTATAGTTCCTCTGGATGTCCTGTACAAAAATTAAAACCTTTCTAAGTAAGGAGTTAAAAAATAAATAAATAGAGTGATTTAATGATGATTTATTATAATATTGGTATGATATTTGTATTGAAATAGGTGCCTCCCAGTGATGAAGCTGTGGTCACATTACTCTGTGAATGGGCTGTTAGCAGCAAGCGTTCTGGAAAACATCGGGCCATGGTGGTGGCCAAACTGCTGGAGAAAAGACAGTTGGAAATTGAGGCAGAGGTATGTTTAAATCTAATTTACCTGCCTGCTCTATGGAATATATTGCTTTTTCCTTTCCAAAAATAGCTACAAACAAATTGGAAATGTTCACACAATAATTGTGTGAACGTTCACTTCAATTATCCAATTATGCAAAAAAGAAATCCCTGTTTATTTTATCTGCAGTTGACTGGATAATTGAAGTGCATCTCCACAAAATATATTGTGTCCACATTGAAAAGGTGGAAAGACTGCTATAGGACTCTGAGTATAGGCATCAACAGTTCCACTCTATACAATCCACTCTCTACTGCTGCTCCTTCTTAAACTCCAATACTTCTATCTCTGTTCCTCTGCAAGCTTTCATATCTCAGCCTCTGTCTCGGTCTCTACTCTTCTGCAAATGTTGATACTTCTAAATATGTTCTTCTTCTTTCAACACCCACACAACTATCTCTGCTACTTTGCAAACTCTCATACCTCTACATCTGATCCCCTGGAAGCTGCCATACTTCAGCCTCCAAACCTCTGCAAACTTCAGTATCTCTCCCTTTGATCCCTGCAAACTCCTGTACCTCTGTTTCTGATCATTTGCCAACTCCCATACTTTTAACTCTGATCTTCTTCAAACTCACATTCTTCTACTGTTGATCCACAGTACACCCCTATATTTCTACTGAAGGTCCTCTTCAAACTCCCATAGCTCTACATCTAAACCTCTGTAAGCTTCTCTTCATCTGATCCTCAGTAAATTCCAATACCGCTACCTCTGATTGTTTGCAAACTCCCATAGTACTAAGCCTGATCCTGTTCAAACCACTATACCTTTACCTCTTATTCACTGCAAACTACCATACACCTCCCTCTGATCCTCTGAAAACTCCCAAACCTGTTCCTCTGATCCTCTGAAAGCTCCCATGCCTCATTACAAGTTACCATACTTCTGCCTCTTCTCCTTGCATATGTCTATACCTCTACTTCTGCTCCTAGATTTAACTCCCATACATCTTTTCATATCCTTTGCAAACACCCATATCTCTGTCTCTGATCCTCTGCAAACTCCTATACCTCAACCTATGCTATCCTGCAGACTTCCAAAGCTAAATTTATCTTCCTTTCTAAATTCTCATACCTCCATCTGTGCTACTCTGTAAACTTACACATTTTTGTTTTCTTTCCTTCACATACTACTATACTTCTACCTCTGCTTTCCTGAAAATTCCCATACCTATACCTGTTCTCTTCTGCATACTTCAAATACCTCTTTTTCTGCAAACTTCAATACATCTTCTCCTCCTCAAGTAGGGGTGAAGAGAATGTACCTGGATTTGGTTCAAGGCTGGTTCAGCGAATATTAAAGAAAAATTAGGAACACAAAGGCAGGGGGTTCACCTAAAACTCCACACTAGATTCTTATGAGTACTCAGCCTAGCAAGCTCGAAAAGGCAGGGGGATGAGTGTGCTGCTACCCCTCCTTCTAAACCATAGTAGGCCATATGCTGACAAAGCACCTTTTCCCCATGCTTAAAGGAAAAAATGCCTCTTCCCCACAACCCTAGTCTGCGGGCAGGGGGCTTATCAGAATAAGGAGGTAACTGCATCCAGATGCCACCCCCCCATGCAAATAAGTAAGGGGTACATAGTACTCCTGATCATTCACAAAAAAGTGAACAGTAAATGGAAACTCACATATGTTTTTATTTAAGTCATTTATTTAAAAAAAAAAATAGTCTCAGGATGTACATCCAATGTCAATGACATCATCCAGTGATGCAGATTATGTCAATCACTGTCGATCTGCAGAAAGAAAATACCCACCGACACAATCCTCTCCTAACAACTGTTCACCTGCGAACGGCAGCTTCAGCAGACAGCTAAATATAAGCAAGGGAACGGAGTCTCCTCAGTGACACCATGACCAAACATGGACATAATCATATTGGTCAATGATGTCACAGTAATCCCAAACAAGCAATCATGAACACCCAAACTAGGAAACTTTGGTCCAGCATGTGTTCAGGCCAAAACAGGAGCTTATCCCTACTCTCCAATTTTGGCTTCTGCTTTTCTGCAAACTCCCATACTTATACCCATGCTCCTACTCAAAAATTCTCATGTCTCTACAAGTTTTCTACACTCCCACTCCCATATCTCTTTACTCCTACAACAAAGGTATGAGAGTTTGCAAAGAAGAAAATATATATACTGTGCATGTACTGTATGTTTGTATGTGTGTACCAATCAGCAGGTTTCATTAGGTTGCGAGGTGGGACCACCATGGATCAGACTTGTTTTTTCAGCACATCCTACAGATGATTGATTAGACTGAAATCTGGAGGATTTGGTGGCCAAATCAACACCTCGCACTCGTGTTCCTCAAACCACTCTTGAATTCATCAGACAAGATCACCTTCTTCCATTGCTCCGTGGTTCAGTTCTGATGCTCATGTGCCCATCGTAGGCACATATGGCTGTTGATACAGGTCAGCATGGCCACCCTGACTGGCTTGCAGCTATGCACCCCCATACGCATCACACCGCAATGCACTGTGTGTTCTGAAACCTTTCTATCAAAACTAGCATTAACTTTTTCAGTAATTTGAGCTACAGTATCTCTTCTATTGGATAAGACTATGTGGGAAAGCCTTCACTCCCCACATGTATTAATGATTCTTGGCTGCCCATGACCCTGTCGCCAGCTCACTGGTTTTCCTTCCTTGGGCCACTTTTGATAGGTCCTGTCCACTGCAGACTTGGAACATCTGATAAGAGCTGCAGTTTTGGATTTGCTCTGACCCAGTCACCTAGCCATTACAGTTTGGCCCTTGTCAAAGTAGTTAAAATCCTTATGCTTGTCTGTTTTGTTCTACTTTCAACAGCTCAACTTCAGTGGCAACATGTTCACTTGCTGCCTTAATATATTCCACCCACTTTCAGAGGCCTTTGTGATTAGATAACCAACGTTACTTTACCTGTTAGGGGTCATAATGTTATGGCTGATTGGTATATAAGCCACAGGAGGATACCTCCAATCTGTAGAAACCTAGGAGAGTAGGTATTCCACGCTTTGTTCATAGTTTACTCAATACGCAGGATTCACAATGACAGCATGTAGTATTTGTTTCAAGCATGCCATTTGCTTTCTCAGGCTAGTAATAAATGAGTCTCCAGCTACACTTATATAAAGGCAACATGCCGGAAATGACATCATACAATTACCAAAGAATAAGTGTAACCTGAAGACTCCATCTTATTGGGAAAGGATACAAAAAAATCATAGATAAATCAGATTACAAGGCAGTGGCCAGCTAGAGGTAAGCGTGAGACTGGATCCTGCAAATGCAGAGAAGGTACCATAGAGGCTCAGACTGTGGGTGCAGCAGAGACTGCAAATGTGGAGATGGTAAAGCTGAAGGTGTCAGTGCTGCTGAGGTTGTGGTTGCAGCTGAGGAGCAACAAAATCTGTGCGTGCAGCACAGGTGCTCTCAAGACTATGTACAAAGCTGAGCAGCAGCAGTGACTGGGCTGTGGGTGCAGTGGAGATCAGGCTGGGGAGTAGTGGAGTCTTAGACTGTAGGTGAAGCAGTGGCTGGGCTGTGGGAGCAATGGAGATCAGGCTGGGGAGTAGTGGAGGCTTAGACTGTGGGTGTAGCAGTGACTGAGCTGTGGGCACAGTGGAGATCAGGCTGGGGAGTAGTGGAGGCTTAGACTGTGGGTGAAGCAGTGACTGAGCTGTGGGCACAGTGGAGATCAGGCTGGGGAGTAGTGGAGGCTTAGACTGTGGGTGAAGCAGTGGCTGGGCTGTGGGCAGCAGTGGAGATCAGGCTGGGGAGTAGTGGAGGCTTAGACTGTGGGTGAAGCAGTGGCTGGGCTGTGGGCACAGTGGAGATCAGGCTGGAGAGTAGTGGAGGCTTAGACTGTGGGTGTGAAGCAGTGGCTGGGCTGTGGGCGCAGTGGAGATCAGGCTGGGGAGTAGTGGAGGCTTAGACTGTGGGTGTAGCAGTGGCTGGGCTGTGGGCGCAGTGGAGATCAGGCTGGGGAGTAGTGGTGGCTTAGACTGTGGGTGTAGCAGTGACTAGGCTGTGGGCGCAGTGGAGATCAGGCTGGGGAGTAGTAGTGGAGGCTTAGACTGTGGGTGAAGCAGTGACTGAGCTGTGGGCACAGTGGAAATCAGGCTGGGGAGTAGTGGAGGCTTAGACTGTGGGTGAAGCAGTGGCTGGGCTGTGGGCACAGTGGAGATCAGGCTGGGGAGTAGTGGTGGCTTAGACTGTGGGTGAAGCAGTGGCTGGGCTGTGGGCACAGTGGAGATCAGGCTGGGGAGTAGTGGAGGCTTAGACTGGGTGAAGCAGTGGCTGGGCTGTGGATGGAGTGGAGACCAGGCTGCAATGAAACAGAGGCTTAGGCTGTGAGTGCATTGGTGGCTGAGCTGCAGAAGCAATGGAGACCAGGGTGGGGTGCAGCAAAAGTGGTATTGAAAAAACAATTTCGATAGTTCAAAGAGTTAAACATAATGCTTGAGCTTTGACAGCATGCCTTGCTCAAGTTTAAACAGAGGTAAATGCCACATTAAATGGCTGCTAGCTGCTACACTTCAGGTAAAACTGAGGTTTAATCTTTGTCACTAAGTTGTTAGGTGATTTTATTTGCATTATAACTGGAGTATAACCGAAAAGGGACCTCGTTTATCTGTTGGCCTTGCTACAATGTCCTTCCCAGCTGAAAAGCCATTTTCTCAGCAGGTGTAAGATTATTCAGCAGAAAGTCCTGCAGATCATTTAGGTCATGGATCCTTTGTATGTCTTTAAAAAACTGGGACAATAAGGCCTGGTTCACACTAATGCAATTTCAGATGTGATATCAGTAGCATAGAATCACATGACAATGGAAATCACATTGTTTTCAATGGTGCCCATTTATATCAAAGGAAAAGGAACTCAGTGCAGCGCGATTATGGAAAATGTTCCTGTACTTTCTCACATCTAAAGGGTTGAATCATGATTATGACTTTTTATTTGAAAGGTTAATTCATTTTTATCTTCACTTTTGGATGATTTTATCGTTTATGGTTTTTGGTTTTACAAGATATACAGTATATGATTTGTAGGTAATGTCCAGGGGCGGACTGACCATTTGGAAACTCGGGCACTGCCCGAGGGCCAAGGGTCAGTAGGGGGCCCCATGAGATGGCCCTGGTACCTTTTGCATAGGCTTTTTTGAGTTTGGGCAAGGACACGGGCCCCATGATCCCCGATTGCCCGGGGGCCCCATGAGTTGTCAGTCTGCCCCTGGTAATATCTTAATTTTTTTTAATCTCCATTCACCAGATATATTGGACAGAATGTAACTAGAAGATAAAGAGCATGACATGCTTAAAGCTGTTACTGTGAATTCCTGCACATTGAATAAACTCCTGAATTGTACTTCAATTCCTCTTCCAGATTTTTATATACTGTATATGCAGTATAAATGGTGTGTGTATGTGTGTGTCCCATAATAAAACCCTCATGCCTTTCCTGGTGGGATAAATGTTTAATTATTATAGTCAGTCTTTTAGGAATTTAGGAATCTTGGATTTCCTTTAATTTGTCTTCATGCAAAAAAGATGTATAAACAAAGTTAGATGGTTCTCGGTCACTCCCTCCTCACTTCCCATAATTGTCATTGAAGATATCTTGGTGTGGAAGACATTTCTTTTATCAGTTATTCAGTAGAGCTGTTGTTGGGAGTTTGTTATTAGAAATGTTTTATAAAATGGTGCGTGGTAACTTTATTCCCATGAATTATTATGTCGAAAGGTTTCCATGTAATTTGGGAAGTGTCAATTGGTCGGCTTGGGTCTTGACTTGTGACCACATTGAAGGCATGGTCATGCACTTTCCTAAAATGTAATATAAACACTGTTAAATCTCTTTCATGTTTTAACAGCATACTACTCTGTAAATATTTATATTCCAGTGTCATGGTTGAGTATTTTCTGATTGTAAAAAGTATGACTCATCTTGGGATTTCTATTAATTAATCTGAATTCCACTGTGGCGTTATAACATACTCTTTTTACTAACAAAAGTCATTCATTTAATTCTGTTTCATGTATGAAAAACTTTACTCTTTTTGTTTAACTGATAAAGCATTGTGGAGGAGTAAAGAAGAATACACTGTAAGACCAGAGAGTCAAGACTTCCCAACTGGGTCTTGGATAGGAGAAGTCTAAAATAACCTATTAGTGTGATTTGCTTGGGCCTTATAAGGACTAAGAATATTTTAATATAACTGTTACTGAAATGTTTAAACAAACCAGTCATGGCACGACTCATGCACGAATTTGTATATTTGGCCTTAAAATATTATACTCACGCAGGCTTAGATCTAAAATATTTATATTTGCTCTCATTTAGTGTTACCTACTTTATCTGAGCCAAACTCATTAGCTTGAGTGAGACATGAACTTACGGCTGACATTTGCTGCCTCTCTCCTACTGCTTGACTTTACACATGGGACTCTCAAAAGATGGAAATGTGCGAAGTCATTTGTCAGAGCAGCAACTGACATCAGATAATGGTTATGTCATCAGGTGATGGTTATTGCAATTTAGATTGAGTTTTACTCACTAAGATTGGAGAGTGCAAAATCTGGTGCAGCTGTGCATGATAGCCAATCAGCATCTAACTTCAGCTTGTTCAATTAAGCGTTAACAAAAAACATGGAAGCTGATTGGTTTTTATGCAGAGCTGTACCAGATTTTGCATTCTCCAGTTTTAATAAATCAACCCCATTGTGTCATAAATAAATAATCCATTGGTATCAAACCCTTACATTTTGTACTGTAATCCAATCTATACATAAAGTTCTATACAAACATATTGGGGGTTATTTTCTAAAACTGGAGAGTGCAAAATCTGGTGCAATCAGCTTCCAGGTTTTATTGGCAAAGCTTAATTGAACAAGCTGAGGTTAGAAGCTGATTGGTTACCATGCACAGCTTCACCAGACTCTGAGCGCACCAGTTTTTGGAAATCAACCCAATTTTGTCTATTTCACGTATCTAGTGTTAGTTAAAGAATATGTAAATCTTCACCTTATAAAGCAACCCATTCAGTTTAAAATAGAAATGAAAGGCAAAACGTGTGTGTTTATATATTTATATATATATATATCATTATAAATACCTTTTTCCATTTTTTTTTTATGATCACATACACTCTGTTCTCAGCTGCTTAAGATGCTCAATGAGGAGAAAGAGCAGGACACTGATCTGTAGCTGCAGCAATGACTGAGTTATCACCCTTTCCCATCCAAGGACATTTGGGTACATCTTATGGATGGGAAGTGGTTAAATGCATAATATAAATCTACCTTGTGACTGTCAGTGGAGCGCAAACTTGAGTTAAGAGTTGATTGCCATTGTCAGTAAAAACAAACTGGAAATTTATGGAAAGAAACATAAAGACTTTGAATTGTTCCCCAAGGCCAAACAGAATTGTCATGTTCTTTTTAGTCTATTAACAGTGAATACACAGGTTATATATAATGCACTAACCCGACAGCTACCATTCGGAAGGTTTTTATATTTTTCCTTCATCTGATAACCTGCTCAGTTGCTGTAGATAAATGCTCATAACTCCTACTTTTGGACATGTTATTAATGTAAGATGAGAACTACTTCTTGGCCCATGGCTATGCTATACCGTACCATGGTACCGTGTAGTGCTATATATTTTTTACATGTATTTAGTAATGGTGATTTCTGTGTGTGTTGAAGAATTACTGTTAGCTAATGTTATGGTTTAAACAAGATGTCACTGTTTCTGACATTCACAGAGATGTAGTGAGTCGGAGATTCTGGATGAGAAGGAATCCATCTCCTCAGCTTCTCTTCCAGGATCCAGCCTACCTGTTTTTCAGAATGTTCTGCTTCGATTTTTAGATTCTCAAGCTCCATCACTCAGTAAGTTGTGTGATACTATGTCCTGTTTTTTTTTTTAATTGATAGCCTAATAACCAAATATATAGATAAAGTGAAACCCCAGGTAACACTTAAAGGTAGTTGTGAACTGCTAATGTGCAACTGGAAACATTGCAAAATTCTGTGCAAAAATGTCCCATTTAAAGCATAGTTTCTGGCAAACAGCTAAAATATCCAAAGATAAAAACAGCATTGGGTCAAGCTATCAGTAAGGCTAGGTTCACTTCTATGCAGTTTGTGTTTGAGCCGTTTCTGCATTGTGCTTTGCGTTGCGTTTTTGATGCGTTTTGCTTTTTTTTATTGTTTCTAGGCAGATTTTAAATGCAAAATGCATAAAAAAAGCATAAAAAGTGCCACAAAAACACATTACATGCTCTCCTGCAGCATTTCCATTAAAGTCTATAGAACCAAAAACGCAACTTTTTGTGTTAAAAAAAAGTCCCTAAACCTTTCCAAAAAATGCACCAGGTAAAAACGCAGAGACCTGAACGCGTCCCTTAGGAAATAATGTTAAATGGACTGTACTGAGTTTCTGCAAAACGCTGCGGAAAATGCTTAGTTATGAACCTAAGGTAATGCTTACATGGGTCAAAATTCGACTGATTTTTCACCCGAAATTCAGACCTAAGAATAATCGGCCAATTTTTGCTCTGTTAGTGGGTCAATGGCACTGGCCGATTTTTGCGGTTCATCCCCTTTTCAGTGATCGGGCATGTTGGATAATTTGTGAAAAACGACCAATTTTCGACTCAATGATGGTCAAATCGTACAACTGTTTTTCCGAAAAGAATATGCGCATGAGCCGTGACCTGGAAGGAACAGAAGTTTCATCTGTTTATATGGGGTGAACTTTATGATGGCCTATTTTCGAAATTATTGATGGCACCCAATGGCACTGGCCGATTTTTGTGGTTCCTCCCCTTTTCAGTGATCGGGCATGTTAGATAATTCGTGAAAAACAACCAATTTTCGACTCAATGATGGTCAAATCATACAACTGTTTTTCCGAAAAGAATATGCGCATGAGCCGTGACCCTGGAAGGAAAAGAAGTTTCATCTGTTATATGGGGTGAACTTTATGACGGACGATTTTCGAAATCATTGATAGCACCATCGGACTACTGAGCAAACAATGTTTTTCGATTTTTGGACAAAAAATCATTTGGAATTCGACCCATGTATGACCTGCATTAAGCTACATCGACTGAAACATGTTAGCACCTCTGTATGTTAGCGGAGAAGAAATAAAGACATATAGAAGAATAACGAGCAGGTGCCACTGACAGGAGCCTGAGTGAGATATATGGGTGGAGGAGGCAGAGGCTTTTTATCCCTGTTGTTTAAAAACACCTAAAATACAGAGAGTAGAAATATATAAATGTAAACACTTATACCTTCTAAATACATGGTAGTTTGCTTCATTTGTCACACTGCATAGCTATTTATTTCCTAAACCATAAAGTACTGATCCAGGAATGAAATTAGCTGAGTGAGCTTCCCCACTGTGCAATGTTGCAAAAAAAATTGAAAAAGTCTCAAAATTACGAAGAAGAATATGGCAGGTAAAAAAGTAAAAATTAGCTTTTACCTGTTTTTCCCATAGCTCCATTGTAATTAAACAGGTTGTTGGCATTATGATTGGCATCCATTTTCATAGTCATGGATTCAGAGCCAACTGGAATATAAGGATTTTGGAACCTTTAAAGAATGGAAGAAAAAAAAACATGAGGCATTCAGAAAGTTGGCTATGACTAAAACAGCCTTTTACATATTGCCTTTATTGTATATTAAAAAGCTTATTCCACTTTCATTAAATAGAAAAAAAGCGATAGACTATTTTCTTGGGAGACATTTGTTTGTTTGCAACAGACACTTAAGACTGCCGAAAGTATTCTAATCTAAAACTGAACAAAAGGCAGATATAAAAGACACCAAGGAGTTGATTCACTAAGTCCTCATGCACACTGGATGTTTTTACAGCGGCTGTTTTTTGGCTTTTGACATTTTTTTCTACAGCCAGTAAACTCCCCCAGCATGTTATTCTATGTGTCCATGCACACATAGACTGTAATGAACGCTTTTTGGCAGGGGCGTTTTTTGGCTGGAAAAAACCCCCAGAACTAGTGGATTTTTCGGGGAGTTTTTTTAGCTTTGAAAACACTCTTAACGCTGAAAAATACGTCAAAATGTGGTAATTCGTGGCAAACCAGCGTTTTTGGACTTTTTTGACAAAAATTTTTATTTTTGCTAAAAAAACCTCTAAGAATGCTAAAAACCACAAACGCGTAAAAACGCGACTAAATGCTAATACAAAACGCTGAAAAACTCACGTTTTTACCGTGACTTTACACAGCTAACATTACCAGCTTTATTAAATGCCCAGTATGCATGGAGCCTCAAACTGGAGAGTGCAGCTCTCATAGAAACCAATCAGTTTCCAGGTTTCATTGTTAAGGCTTTATTGAACAAACCGAAGTTAGAAGCTGTTTGATTATCATGCACAGCTGCACACTTTCACTTTATGCATACTAATTTGAAACACTGATTTTTTTTTTTTATTGACTTTTATTGATTGATAAAATTTATGTGGCATGTTTATTTTTATGAATTTGTTATGCATTGTACGCACTTTTAAGCTGTCAAATGGACAGCACACCTATTTTTTGCATTTAATTTGACATTCTATATTCAGATATTTGGGTGCTGAAGTTTATCGGTAACAATCAGTTGCAGGTGCAGAGCGCAGGTGTTTGATATATGCAAATAAATAACATGCTGATAGGAGGAGTGAGCAGGCTGATTGGTAAGATTATCAGTGTTCTGCTTTTCCTTTCACTGTCCATTCACAGGGTGGGCAAGTGACACAACCTGTGTTTCCTAACTGCAGAAGAGAAAAATCATGTCTCCTGCCCTTTCAAAAATGGCTGTGCTGTATGGTAAAGCTGTGCAAATCTCAGAACTAGATGAGCAGAATCACAAATCATTTAGAAGGGAAAAACAGCTCCCATAATATGTATTTTATACGGTATTTGCATGTATCTGTTTGCCAGGAGTTTAGATTTAAATGGCTATGGGTTTGAATTATCACAAAAAAATGATTATCCTATTCATGATTTCTGCACTCTATAAGAAGGAAAGTACATTAAACCTGGTCTGTTGGGTTTGGTTTTGCTAACACTGCAGGAACTTTGTGTCTGAGGCTTAGTGGGGTATTTGAGATCACAGCTTTACTAGACCTCTGTATTTTTTCCTAAGGTGATCCAAACAACGAACATGAAAAAGTGGAGTTTGTTAACTTGGTGTTATTATTTTGTGAGTTCATCCGACATGATATATTTTCCCATGATGCTTATATGTGCACTCTGATATCACGTGGGGACTTGTCTGCTAGCAACAGATCTCATTCGCCCAGTGGAGAACACATTGATGACCATTATGCTAAAGATCTTAGTGCCAAGTTAGAGGTAAGAAGAACTTATTTTATAGCCGAAAAAACAGGATACATATATGTTAAAATGCTTGTTTTTCCTGGGGAAGAGGACACCAAAGATAGACTCACCTGACCTGCTGATCCTCCCCACACAAGACCGGTCCTTTTTGCTCCTACCCATACTCACCCCCCCGTGGTCCAACGGTCTTATAAACAGACTGTTCCTGACATCATCATGCTCAATGCACGCTCTACAGACAGGAACAGTCCACCGCTGGACCATGGGGGAGTGCGATTTTCCATAGGGTCGGCGAGTCAAGTGAGTATGAGCTTACCCTCACCCACTGCATGGTAAAAAAAAAAATTAACTGGAGTTCTGCTTTAAATTTTCAGCTTATATAAAAAATGGAGAATCTCTATCTCTGAGTGATGCATGTCATTAGGGGTTCTTCAACTCATAAAAAGTAACTATACTTTGGTTGTGAAAAAAAACGCTGCTCTCTGGGTGATCAATGTACAGTCCATTGCAGACTGATCTGAATCTGAGGTTCTGGTTCATTATAATCGCCTTATGTTCCAATAAGAAAATTTGCAGGGTCTGCATCACTTTAGAAGTAATTAACACTTAGGAAGTTTCTCACAAAAATAAATATCCTGCTGCAGAGGATGATCCTAAGATCTGAATTGTATCTTAGTGCAGACTTCGGTGAAAATCAGTGAGCCAATCATACAAGCAGGAATCTTATTGAAGCAGGCTGTACACCCACATAGCCATATTGCATGGAATTTTACAGAAAACTACAGTGCTGCAGATAAAAATAGGCAATTTTGTTTAATAACAATACATTAGAATATGTTGTTTAGCAATTGTATATACTATACATTTTTTGAATTGATATTTTTTTTTCAGTAAAAGTTGAGGTGCGTTTTAAAATCATGATAGAGTAATCCTGCTCTGGCATATTCTCTGATGGTTGTTTACTGTCAGCATCCTGTTCAAAGTAAAACCAATATAACGCCTATAAGAGAAATCATTGTAAGCTCTATGATAGCATGTAACTCATCTAATATATATGGTGGATATAAAAAGTCTACACACCCCTGTTAAAATGTCAGGTTTCTGTGATGTAAAAAAAATGAGACAAAGATAAATCATTTCAGAATGTTTTCCACCTTTAATGTGACCTATAAACTGTACAACTCAGTTAACAACAAACTGAAATCTTTTAGGTGGAGGGAAGTAAAAATAAAACACTAAAAATAATATGGTTGCATAAGTGTGCACACCCTTATACTAATACTTTGTTGAAGCACCTTTTGATTTGATTCCAGTACTCTTTGGGTATGAGTCTATCAGCATGGCACATCTTGACTTGGCAATATTTGCCCACTCTGCCTTGCAAAAACACTCCAACTCTGTCAGATGGCGAGGGCATCTCCTGTGCACAGCCCTCTTCAGATAATCCCACAGATTTTCAATCGGACTCAGGTCTGGGCTCTGGCTGGGCCATTCCAAAACTTTAATCTTTTCTGGTGAAGCCATTCTTTTGTCGATTTGGATGTATGCTTTGGGTCTTCGTCATGCTGAAAGAGGAAGTTCCTCTTCATGTTCAGCTTTCTAGCAAAAGCCTGAAGGTTTTTGTGCCAATATTGACTGGTATTTGGAACTGTTCATAATTCCCTCTACCTTGACTAAGGCCCCAGTTCCAGCTGAAGAAAAACAGTCCCAAAGCATGATGCTGCCACCACCATGCTTCACTGTGGGTATGGTGTTCTTTTGGTGATGTGCAGTGTTTTTTGCGCCAAACATACCTTTTGGAATTATGGCCAAAAAGTTCAACCTTGGTTTCATCAGACCATAACACATTTTCCCACATGCTTTTGGGAGACATCAGATGTGTTTTTTGCACAATTTAGCTGGGCCTGGATGTTTTTCTTCGCAAGAAAAGGCTTCCATCTTGCCACTCTACCCCATAGCCTAGACATATAAAGAATACGGGAGATTGTTGTCACATGTACCACACAGCCAGTACTTGCCAGATATTCCTGCAGTTCCTTTAATGTTGCTGTAGGCCTCTTGGCAGCCTCCCAGACCAGTTTTCTTCTCAGCTTTTCATCAATTTTGGAGGGATGTCCAGTTCTTGGTAATGTCACTGTTGTGCCATATTTTCTCCACTTGATGATGACTGTCTTCACTGTGTTCCATGCAGGGGCGGACTAACCATTCGAGCACTCGGCCACTGCCCGAGGGCCCGGGGTCAGTAGGGGGCCCCTTTCATTGGCTTTTTATAGGCTTTTTGGGTGTGGGCGAGGACCCAGAGGCCCCATGATCCTTTATTGCCCAGGGGCCCTATTAGTTGTCAGTCTTCCCCTGGTTCCATGGTATATCTAATGCCTTGGAAATTCTTTTGTACCCTTCTCCTGACTGATATCTTTTAACAATGAGATCCCTCTGATGCTTTGGAAGCTCTCTGTGGACCATGGCTTTTACTTTAGGATGTGACTAAGAAAATGTCAGAAAAGACCTACTGGAACAGCTGAACTTTATTTGGGGTTAATCAGAGGCACTTTAACCGCTTCCCGTCCACCCTATAGAAGAAATACTACTACAGGGCGGCACAGATGTGCAAAATAATGTATATAGTTGTGATTTTGAAGTCATCCGCGGCCTTGGCCCTCTCCGGCACCCAGTGATCACTGAGTAATAACAACGGGGAGAGAACTGTATGTAAACAATACAGTTCTCTCCCATGTCAGCTCCTGCACACTGCTTTATATGGTTCTGCATAGCAGAGCCATACAAAGCAGTGTGCTTTCAATTGAAAGCACACACAGCACATAATATGAAATAGCACAAGGTTAACCCTTTGATCACCCCACATGTTAACCCCTTCCTGCCCAGTGCCATTAGTACAGTGTCAGTGCTTTTTTTAGCACTGATCACTGTATTGGTGTCACTGGGTATGTCAGTGACACCAAGTCAGTTCCCCCCATGTCAGAATGCCCGCCGCAGTCCCGCTATAAGTCGCTGATCGCTGCCATTACTAGTAAAAAATAAAAAAAAAAATTCCAGTATATATACTGCCATTTATAAACGCTATAATTTTTACGTAAACCAAATAATTTAGACGTATTGGGATTTTTTTTTTAGCAAAGACATGGAGCAGAATACATTTTGGTGTAAATTTATGATGAAATTGATTTTTTTACATTTTGTTATTGGACATGTTTAATAGCAAAAAGTCAAAAATATTGGGGTTTTTTTCTCAATATTGTCAGTCTTTTTTTGTTTATAGTGCAAAAAATAAAAATGCACAGGCCATCAAATACCACCAAAATAAAGCTCTATTTGTGGGAAAAAAGGGCATAAGTTTTATTTGGGTGCAGTGTTGCATGACCGCGCAATTTTGAGTTAAAGTAACGCAGTGTCGTAACACAAAAAATGGCCTGGTCAGGAAGGGGGGTAAATCCTCTGGAGGGCAAGTGGTTAAATGATGGCAGGTGAACTGACCCCTATTTAAAATGATTTTGAATGTGATTGCTTAATTCTGAACACAGCTATATCCCCAGTTTAAGAGGGTGTGCACACTTATGCAACCACATTATTTTAGTTTTTTTATATTTACTCCCCCCCAAAAGATTTCAGTTTGCTTTTCAATTGAGTTGTACAGATTATAGGTCACATTAAAGGTGGAAAGGTATCTTTGTCTCTTTTTGTTATGTCACAGAAACCTGACATTTTCCAAGGGTTGTGTAGACTTTTTAAATCCACTGTATGCATGAATGTGTATATATATATGTGTGTGTGTGTGTGTGTATGTATGTGTATGTATATATATATATATATAATATATATATATATATTAATAATTGTCTTTCCTAAAGGATCATTATATTACTTATGCCCTTAGTTAGTGAATAGTCTGATAGACTCTCATTCAGTTTTAAAGCATAAAAATAATCAGCCAAAGCTCTTGCTACTGATAACAGCTGGACTGGCATTTAACATACACAAGGTCATATCAGTAGCCTATAGGTTGCAGTTAGGTTGCTATTTTTTGGAACATAACAACTAAGATACTGACAGTTTCTATATAGTTAGTTTAGACATGCTTATGATTTATTGATTAAATAGCAAACGTTTTCCTGGTTATAAAACAGGATGAAATTCTTCATTCATAAATATGTTCCTAGCTGTATGAATATAAAACACAGCAGAGTTCAGTGGTCAGCCCACTGGATGAATGAAAAAAACAAAAAACAGTCCACCTTTGGCCAGCCTTAGCCTTCCATGTTTTATTTGAAAATTTGTTTTATTGCTTTCTGTATTTTTGTTGCTGTTCTTTTTGACACTCTTTAGATACACACTCTATCTAGCTGTAGTTGGGCTTTGAGCTTTGGTGTAAAGAAGTATCAGTATAGCCAGAGTTTACTGATCGCTTCCTTTATTTTCTGTTTTCTTAGGAGCATGGCATAGACCAAATGGAGATTGACTCAGGAACAGCCCACCTCTTTGATGATATAGAGAAAAATGAATTCAAAACAGATTTTGGATCAGAATTTCCGGTATGTTTATCAAAACGACTAGATAGTAGGACATGTAGTATAATTTCTTTGCATACAATATATGATTAATCAGCCATAGATAGATACCATCTATTTATGCCATCAACCTGATTTACGGTATGTTCCTAAATTTAAAACAAAAAAAATCACATAGAAATAACAACAATTGAGGGCTACTGCATTAATCATACTGTAATTCCTCTGTATGTTTAGAGGAATATCTGTACTAGACTCCTAACTCCTGTTAAAATTCTAACGATAGATATATCAAAATCTTTGGTTTCAATAGTGTTTATTGAAATTGAAGGACAGTTTTACAGAGGCAAGAGATATGCAGAAAATATCAAATAGAGAAAGAAA